CGGGCAGCGGGTCAGACGTCCGGTCGGCTAACACATCGCAGCCTGTCAGCTGCTTTAAGCTAGCGGAGGGGGGGAAACGGAGCCGCGGCGGCCTCACAGTCGGTCCTCAGGCCGCGGGACGGCAGCATGGAGGGCCGGTAGCCGGTGGGAGCGGGTTGGGTTGGGCTGAAGTCCCGCTGGGCAGCGCCACATCACGGTTTGACGGATTTCTGACGCCGTGGAGCGCCTCCGCGCAGTCCTAGCACAGGTTAAACAACAACAACCCAACTGAGGCTGCGCGAAGCCGCGTTGCCTTATGGGTAGTGTAGTTTGACGCAACACACCGCTCCCGACGCTCTTTTAGTTTTTCACCTCATCTACGTGAGCTCAGAGCTGAGATTCGGGGTTTAATCATCTATTAAACCCACACAAACAGCAGCCTCTCTGGGCTCGTTCCTGACTCAAGGCAGTGCACCTTCAGGAGACTTTGAGGCCCTGAATCAGGAGTTTTGAACTAGGAAGTGACTAAAACCTGCAGTACAGTGGCCAGAGAGGAGTTTGAGACCCCTGATATTGTTACTGTTGCTCTGCTCACATAATTTCTGTGTCAATGACAACATCTTAAATTTTATTTAAGCTCCAAATGTCAATTCACAGACAACAAACTGGACCTTAGAGTCAGTGTGAGCTGTTTTCTGTCTCATTCATCTCTATGATGGTCTGACCTATCCAGGTTGTTCCCGCCTCCCATCCAATGACAACAGAGACAGGCTCCAGAATTTACTTTTTTTTTATTCTATTTATGTCAAACAAAGAAGAACTGCCAGCAGCATCTTGTACCAAGCATTCTGTTATGTTTGGGAGCTTTATTCTGTCCTTACATCCCAAAGGTATTCATATTATTTAGATTTTTTTCACTTTTTGTTAAACCCTAATTGAAACCAAACAGGCACAGTTTTGTGACGTTAGGTGCCAGATTTGTTGGTGGATCTGGGCTCTTTTTGCTCAGCGTTTCCTGGTGAGTCCAGCAGGGGGAGTGAAGGCCTCCAGCTCTTTGGAACATTTCTGAGGAACACGTCGTGTCTTGACTTGTGTGAAATGCGACCTGTGGTGCCCTTTCACATGACGCAGCCACAGGATTTGCATATTATTCCAGAACGTGAGTCATGCCACAGGATGGCATCCGAGCAGAGAGAGAGCGAACAGTTTGTGCTCAAGGTGGAGGCCCGGAGGGGTCGGCTCCTCCGGTGCTCAGCGGCTTCACAGCACACTCAAGGAAAGCTGTCGGAGGCCTAATGAGAGAAAAGGGAAAGGTCCCGGTCACGCCCCAGATGTGGCTTGATGTCGGCTTTCCCCTCCAGCTCATTCAGATCAGAGTTAAACACAGAGCTGCAGCCCAGTATTACAGCAAAAAGCTTCAATATCCTCCAAACAGGAGGCTGTGTGGCGTTCAGGGGCCACTGGCATGTATTTTGGGAAAGTCCATAAATAAAACCCTTCTCGAAAGAAAGTAATGTGTGATTATATTTAGTGTTAAAAGGCCTTTGCTGGTTTTGTCTCTGTTTTTTGGGACCTGTTGTTTCTATAGAGGTGGATCATTACTTGATTTATTCATTAGTATTCAAGTATTTATTTGCTACTTTTTCCCTCAGTTTTCAAAAAGCTTTTACCAGACGTTGGCTGCTTCCAGAGTCCCAACAGTTTCTGACTGGATGGATGTTGTAAATGAGGTCTACAAAATGAATGCATCCCCTTCTCTGTTCTTTTGGGAAAATGGGTTAAATATGGAAAGTCTGCTTGGCCAGATGTTGTAGAGGTGCAACATTAATCTCCTGCTTTGTGTCTTTTGTGTGTCGGTGTCTGGTTTCCTTTTTGTTCTTTCCTCCTCTCCCACTGGGTCCCAAATAATATACATTTACTTGTTTGTTTCCTTGCTGTAGCCCTGCTTTGCTGGCTGAAAAATAAAGAATGACACAAGATAAAATCTTCCACACAGATCAGTTGCAGGTTTCCTGTGGAGGAGCTGAGCAGAAGCTGGTTTCTCTTGTTTAGTAAAGCCCAGAAAATGATCTGACTCTGTGGCCTTTTTTATGCACGCTGCTGTGCACGTGCAGGGCTCAGACTGGTTATTCCTCAGAAAGGCCCCACTTGAAGACTGAATGACTCGAGCTTAATGCTTTCATTTGAGGCTTTTCTGCAAAATTCTGTGAATCAGACATTCCTGGAGGAAGCAAAGAGAAGCTGACTCTCCCGGCTGGGCTGGATTTCAGCCCTCAGGGGGAAACGACACGCGTTTAGAGGTTTGAGCTGCTGAGTTTAGGGCTACGTGATCCCAAGCTCTGGGCGCCCAGCAGCAGAACCAGGACCAGAACCAGCAGATAAACCAGAACCTGCTGATAAACCAGGACCAGAACCAGCAGATAAACCAGAATCTGCTGATAAACCAGGACCAGAACCAGCAGATAAACTAGAACCTACAGCAGGACAAGAACCAGGACCTGTAACAGAATCAGAATCAGCAGATAAACCAGAACCTGCTGATAAACCAGAACCTGCAGATAAACCCTAACCAGCAGAAAAACCAGAACCAGCAGCAGAACCAGAGCTTCTCCTGGTGTTGCTGCAAACAGAGATCAGAATCTCATCATAATCTCAGAGGAAGTCAGCAGAGCTCCTCTGCAGACTGCTGTGGCAACGCTCTGATTTGCTGTCTGCTGCTCATGGTGCCGCCCGGTTCCGGCCCGGTTTGGAGGAGATGGCATCGCCATGGACATTTAATAATCAGTTTTGAGGGATTTAGTTTGAGGGGGGCCAACCCCCTCTGGCCCCTTCCTAGACACGGCCCTGGTTTTTCACCAGTTTAGAGAGAATGAATGGACCAAAATCAAGTTTTAGAGCTGGTTTGTGGATGTTTTTCACCAGTTTAGAGTGAATTAATATCATCAAAGCTGCACTTATCTGGGGAGGGACTCTGGCCCGTGCCTGGACCGGCTCTCAGGGCCCGTCTCAACAGAAACATCCGCGGAACGCTCGCGGCTGGAGTTTCGCGGTGTGATGGATGTCTGAGGTGGAACACGTGACGTGGAGCCTGCTTGCTGTGCTGGAAAAGGCAAAAGCAACTTCCGCGTAGCGCTCAGAGTCAGACGGAGAGCAGCTGCAGCCCGGTGCCGCGCGCACCCAGTCCCGGTTCCGAGGCGCACTGATCCGGATCCAGCGGAACTCAGGACCCACCGACATGAGCTGCGTCTGCGCGCCAGGTAGAAAACCTGCTCCCATTTCTCTGCTCCTGCTGGATTTCAGCCCTAGCAGAGAAATAGTCCAGCATTTTAAATCGGAAAACCCCGCCAGATGAATGAGAACAGTTCTGAAGTCCCACCGAAGTCCCGGATGTGTCAGAATCAGTGATGACTGGACTCTTAAATACTCCAGAACCGGAATCAGAACGAGCTCCATCTGAGTCTTTCAGAGTTTGTGTTTCCACTTAAGGGACACAGTCTGTGTTTGATTGGCCTTCTGTGTGTGTTTTCTGTCTTATTTATATTTGTATTTGTCTTGTTTGTGTTTGTTTAGTTTGTTTTATTACTTGTTTGTGTTCTCTGTGTTTGTTTTGCCTTGTTTGTGTTGTTTTCTGTCTTGTTTTTGTTTGTTTTGTCCTGTTTGTGTTTGTTTTCTTTCCTGTTTTTGTTTGTTTGGTCCCGTTTGTGTTTGTTTTCTCCCTTGTTTTTGTTTGTTTTGTACTGTTTG